GAGAGAGAGAGAGAGAGAGAGAGAGAGAGAGAGAGAGAGAGAGAGTGTTTTGAATTTTTACATAACACAGCCGTCAGTTTACATTTCTTGAAAAAGATGGATCTTCCGAGTATTGGGGTATTCTGGATAACACATTTGCACATTCAGTCTTATCTTGTTTCTTTCTGTTGCCCGTTTTTCTGTTCTTTTTCGGGGGGCCGGCGGGGGGAGAGGGAGGGAAAGAGCACGTGTGCATGTTTGGGTACAAACTTGCCACTTTCTATATCAGGAATGATTTCAAGCCAAAGGGGATCACAACCACCAAGCCTGAGATGATTCTCAGTAAGCTCGAGGACTACGTCAGCAGTCTGGCCGAGTTGGAGGTAATTGAAAACAGAAAGAAGAGCTCACTCACAAAATTCAGTTACCTGAAAAAATTCCGAAAACAAATAAGGGAACTGAACGAAAGAAAAATGAAGCATGCTCTTTTTTTTTCTTTCTTTGTTTCTTTTTACGAAGAAAAGGCTCCATCTATTGGCAGGGAGCATCACCTGCTGAAAAATGGGTCCAGCGTCCCTTATACAGAATGATTCCGAAAACCGTCAGGAAGAACCAGAAAAGCATGCTCAGCATTGGCATTTATGGAAATGGAATGCACTCAATACACTTTAGCACAAAATGTGAGGCTTTACTCTCGAGGAGGACATACTGTGCCAGATAAAAAAGCAGGTTGCATGTGTGCAACCAGCATCGCCCTTCTGCCTCGTCCACTCAGGCAATGATGCTATCTCACTCTCGGCTTAAATAGTGTCTCCGTAGCCTCAACTCTGAATACTACGAAATCCTCAGATGGTCACCAACCGACTTCCTCCTTCCTCACATCATCCTGCTCGTTGTGAGAACGTAAAATTTTTCCTCCGTTCTGCAATTTAAATGCCGATGTCGTAGTCGCCCCCCCAAAAAAACCCACTTGTTCTCAGATTCCTGTAGTTTTTTTCAACTGCCGATGGCAGGGAGTGCCTATATGCTGCCTCAACAAATGTATTTGTTCGCAGATAACAGTTGTGGTCGGACACTCAACACACTTTAGATTTTTCCTTCTAGCCGTTCTGCAATCAAAATGCCGATGTCGTATTCCCAAAAAAAACACTTGTTCTTGGAGTCCCGTAGTTTTTTTCAACTGCCGATGGCAGGGAGTGCCTATATGCTGCCTCAAAAAATGTATTCGTTCGCAGATAAATGTCGCGGTCGGACTTACTCATGCTAAAAAAATATATATATATATTTTCCTAAAATACCTTAAAACCTTAAATCAGCTTGCGCAAATATACACTAGTGTAGTATAACGGTAGGTACCGTACCCGTTAAGAAACAGTTACAAAAATCTTAAATCTCTAGCTCAGGCTCTTAACCCATATACTTGTTAAGCCATGTTAGAATGGCTCTGGCCGTTCGTCTCCGCATCTTAGTCCGACAGATTGCGAGAACCGCCTGTCTAAGCAACCTCTTCGGGTACCGGAGTAGCAGAGCTTCTGTGAAGAATAGCTTGATGATTGGGATTGCTTCATGCTCAACCGTCGTGTTGGAAAGGATACGGTGCAAAGTCCCAAGTATGGTTAGTGCTTTACCCTTGACTGGACCGAAACTCATGAAGTGTTTGATCGTATGAAACTGCCCAGGAAATGGAATGGTTTGGTTTTGGTAGTTAAACGCTGCAGCAGTACCTTTCCCATATGTCGGCCGCGGGCGGTGATGGATGCCCGAAACGAAAAGTGGGCCACCGATTCAATTTATGAACGGCGGGCCTCCCCCCATTGGCTACCACGTTACCCGGCGCGTCTTAGATTCCAAGCGGGGAAAGGTACTGGTGGTTTAAGCAGGCAATAGATTCTTAGAGGAGGGTTGGTCAGCTAGGGTCAGTGCTGGATTTGGCGGCCCTTATTGGGCTGAAGAGGTTGACAACAACCTGAACAATATGGACATTTCAATGATTTCATAATATTCATATGTATATGGGACGCTGGACTCGATTTCCAGCAGGCGACACTCCCCACCAATAGACTGGAGTTCCAAAACCAAGGTGCTAGGAACAGGGGCTCATATCACCACCCCAAGCAGTAGTAGTATGGATTCCGTACATCTGGGCCTAAGTCCTCCTCCGTGCAAGCACAGATTCGAACCGGCGACTTCGGCCTCAAGAGCCAAGTCTCTTAACCACTACAGCCAGGACAATGTGTTCAAAAGTGGAATCGTACCGGTCGTGATATCCACCCCACCCCTGCAAGGCTGTAGTGTCCAACTCAACACACACCACACACAACACCCACGGACACGGCAATTCTCGTACACTTCGCTCTGTAGTCAGGGGGTAAGAGTACGGGTAAACCCCGCTGGTACTCTTACCCGCTCACACAGACGGGACTTATCAGCCTTGGAGGGGTTTTTCTTATAAAAAAAAAAAGAAGAAGAAGAATAACTGCATTTGTGAAGCCATCCAGCCAGAACCCTCTCTGAGGTTTCTCTATGTTACATTCCTTTTTTTTTTTTTTTTTTCCCTTTTCTTCCAAATTTCTGCCTCGTCATCCCCACTACTTCCGAGGCTCTTTTTGCCGAGGTGGAGTAGAACTGCGCGCGAAGCTTTGCAAAGCCAAATCACCAGTGCGATCTTTTTTCTTTTGTTTTGGCTGGCGCTGCCAGCCATTTTGGTCCAGTGGAGCCCCGCGTCTGAAGAATGCGGTGTAGGTTATATTCACAACCTAGCCTTTGCCTCTGAGATGTGGTGGCGGTTTAAAGTTGTAAACCACGACTCCATCCGGACCTATTTTGAAGAACCAAAAGTCTCATTTCCCTGAGCCAAGATTTTTTTTTTTCTTTTTTTTCTTTTTTTTCATGAGGCAAAAAACATCCCTCCTGAGGTTAGGGGTGCTGGTTGGCATTTTAGATTTTAGGTTCAGGCCAGTTCAATAATGGCCTGAGCCCAGAATCTACAATGCCACCGTGAGGAAAAATAATTGTGGCACCTTTCCCCACCGAGCCCTTACCGGGGCCTGGGCACTGTTGTTTTCTTTTTTCCTTCAGAAGGCACTGTTGAGTTTGGCCCGGTATGCGGTACTCGTACACAAGAAAAATCAACAGTGCAGGGGCCATTGGAGTGGTCGTTTAATTGAGCACCTGCCACAATTGTCAATTATCTCCTCATTCTTAAATGCTAACCAAATGAACCGATCAATCAAGCACTCACTTCTTATGTGTGGGGTCTTCGTGCAATCAGTCAAATAATGGAACCGATCAATCAAATTAATCAATCAATCAAACTTGCCAATCAATCAATCAATCAATCAATCAATCAATCAATCAATCAATCAACTGATTCACTCCCTCCGTCCATCCATCCATCCATCCATCTGTATGTCCATCCATCAATCCGCCTGTCCCTCCATGCGTCCACCTGACCCTCCATCCATCCACCCATCCACCCATCCACCCATCCACCCATCCACCCGTCCATCCATCCATCCATCTATCCATCCATCCATCCATCCATCCATCCATCCATCGATCCATCCATCCATCCAATCCATCCAATCCATCCATCCAATCAATCCATCCATCAATCAACCAATCAACCAACCAATCATCTGACCGACCAACCGACCGACCTACCGACCGACCAGCCAGCCAGCCAACCAATCAATCAACTGAATGAACAGAATTGAATGAATTTTGAACAGTCCAGCCCATCAGCCTCAAGGGCTTGGACAGAGCTGCCCATTGATTCATTGAATCAGTTGATTGATTGATTGATTTGATTGAATCAGTTGACTAATTGATTGATTTGATTGATTTGATTGATTTGATTGATTTGATTGATTTGATTGATTTGCTTGATTTGATTGATTGACTTCACAAAGTTCAACACTGATCAGCCATTGGTCAGATCTTTCCAGATCTGGCGTGGCATTCCCGATTTAAATACAGATATACACAAACTGGATGCAAAAACTGCTACAGAAGAATGTTCAGCTAGAACTGTCCTTTTGTCGTTTCTGCCTACAGTTCAGCAAGCAGTTCCGAATGACGATATATGTTGCTAGATCCCTGCTACGATTTTTCTACGTGATGTCTAGTGGCCGTGGTCGGAGCCATCACTTCGCGGCCATGCTCTGCCTGGGGTGCAGGTGGTGAATCTGGAATCTATTTACTGGCTGTGGAAGACATTTCCTTTTTCTCTGAGGTTGTTGATAGCTGATGTGGTGTGAATCTGCAATCCATAGACTTTCCCGTAGTCTGCTTTGTTCTTCTCTTGACCTCGGCCCCAAGAGCCAAGTCTCTTAACCACTACAGCCAGGACACGGCGCTAAAAAAAGTCAAACCATGACGGTTGTGATATCCACCCCACCCCTGCAAGGCTTAAGTGTCCAAATGGAACTCAAGACCATGCCCAACTTCCCCGGTCACATCGGCAGATCTTGCACACTCAGCTCCAACTGAGCATGTACCCTTCCTCAGATACATACCATTACCGGTACTTGGCCCACGCCCACTCACACAGTGACCTTGAGGGCAGTGGTTGGTACCCATGTCAGGGTATCAGTTGTGCGGGAGTGGTCGGTGCCCACCTGCAACTGGTGGCTTAAACCGCAAGTACACGGCCCCAGCCTTGCAGAATTTTTTTGTAGCCACGAGCAAAACTCGGAGGGGCCGTGCGGGGTGGGGCGCCGTTGAACAAAAAAATTGGTGGCCTCCGAAGTGGTGCGGGTTTCGTGCTGACACCCGCGGGCCGGTGTGTGGTGTACTGGTGCTTTAAGGTGGATTACGACTGACAGTATCACTCAGCCGGGCCGGTGTGTGGTGTACTGGTGCTTTAAGGTGGATTACGACTGACAGTATCACTCAGCCAAGATGCAATTACCTGGCCTCATACTTACTGCCCGAGCAACACCATCGACAAAAAGAAAAAGAACAACGTTTTGACCCTTTAGGCACGTATGGCATACGTATGCATGGCTTGACACATGTATGCCGTACATTGTAAGCACAATAGCAACAACAGAAGCAGCAGCAGCAACAGCAACAGCAATGGCAGAAACAACAACAACAGCAATAGCAGCACTGGCACCAGCAGAAACAGCAACAGCAGCAGTGCGACATGCCCACTTCGTGATGGGCTGTAGTGGGCAGTGTGACCCGCCCACTTTGTGATGTGGTTGATCTGTGATACGAAACGCTCCCACTACATTACACTTGAGTATTTCTTGCATTTCTCTTTATCAGCAGTGGCTGCAGCAGAAACGGCTACAGCAGCAGTAGCTGCAGCAGAAACAGCAACAGCAGCAGTGGCTGAAGCAGAAACAGGAGAAGCAGCAATGGCGGCGGCAGCATAAGATGGGGTGGGCCATCTGGGGGAGAGGCAGACAAAGTGCGGCAAAGAACAACATGTGCGAGGAGAAACTGGCTACTGCAGACAAAGAGACTGGCCCGGTGGCGGAAGGTAAGAGGGAACAGGTGGACAGTATTGATGCCAGGATGAGAGCACATTAGAAACTGGTAGCTCATACACAGCTGGGGCAGCTCATCATTGTAGGGCAATGTAGGCCAGTGAGGATGACCTCGGGGAGGAACGAGAGCATGTAGCAAATAAGTACACTTCCAAAGTGGCTTTCTGTACCATTATGATTTTGTTATGTTAGTCGGGCTAACCATAGTATGAACAAGAGTACAGCAGGGGATTGACTGTCTGGAATATAGAATCAGCTTGAACTAAGACCTCCCTCTTCAGCCCTGATGCGGCGTCCAGAAAAGAGCCTGATAAACCTAGAAGATCTCATCACCCGCTTCTTTTTTTTTTTTTTTTTTTTGATAAAACAGGGCCTTATGGTCCTGGCTCCTTCTATTCTGGAGAGCGTCAGTCCGGTTCCTCTTCCACCGGCAAGTCAAAATACATAGTACATGAGACAGAACACGCTCTTCATCACCCGCTTCTATACCAAGCAAGATCTACCAAATGATTTTCCATCGGGGGGAAAGGATTCAGTGAACTTATTTATCTAGGAAGTGTTTTTAATTCAAGCTTTGGATGATTGTGTCAAATGATGTCACACAGTGGGTCCTGCAAAATTGTATTGCCTCAGTCAAGTTGTGCCATGTTCTGCATACCAGCGGAGTTCTGCCCAATGTTTCCTCAGGCTGTTTGAAATTCCCATATGCTTCAACTTCCTGTGAAGTTCTGAGATGCAGAGTCTTTGCAATCAGGTTCTGGATCCTTCAGGTCCCCCTTCCATGTGCCTCGCAGCCACAGTGTGTGATACTCTCTCCCTGCACAGATTTTCTATATGCCTTACACTGGCTTACAGCACACAAACCCCTACCACAACATACACTGGCACCATTCTGTATCACATAGCGTACTATGCCATAGGGCCTTGCTGCACCACTCTTCAGTCTCTCCAAATGCACAAAAGACAGTTTCCATGTTTTAGCAGAAGAGTCACCGACATCTCATTTTGCTCATCTGGCGAGTGGTGTCGAGAGTTCCGTACAGTACTACTCTGTATGCAATTACACAGAAAATGTTTGTACAGTACAGCGAACAAGTACAGCGCAGCATACAGTACTGTACTGTAGTAAACCTGTCTTGCCTCCTTGGCTCGTGTGATTTTGTTTGTTCGTGAGGGAAGGAAAGCGAGAAAGAAAAAAGAGAGAATCTTGTGTGTTGGTTTCTCCTCGTTTTTTTGTTTAAATTTGTGTAATGGTTTGTACTGTGTATGTGTGCAGGGAGAAATTGAGAAGACGACTCGAGGGTGCCATGCACTTGGCCTTGAGGTCTCAGGGCTTGACAAGCTGACAGCCGTGAACGAAGACATCAAACAGCTACAGGAGGTAAGGCACTGGCACAGACTATTCACACATTCGAAATTGTCCCAGATATGAAAGTCAACTGGGGGACAAAGACGGAAGGGTGGTGGCTGGACCCCCAGGCAGCGCGGCCCCCCCCCCCTCCCAGCCCCCAAGTGGCCTGGAAAACCAAACAAACGGCGATCCGGGTGCTGGGGGTAAATATTACAGCGATGGGCCCACCGCCCGTCCACGGGGACAGCTTAGTGGATCTTGTCAGTAGGAAACTGTCTAATTGGGACAAGCCCACCTCGCTGGTGGGCAGAGTGTTGGCAATCAACAACATCATATTCACTTCCATACTGGTTCAAAGTGGCCTTCTGGTCACTTAACCGGAAACACATATCAAAACTCAAGCAAGCAGCGTAACCATGAGGACACCCCGGCCATAAAAAGAGTGTCCTGGGATATCCTGGTGCAACACAGGTCCAAAGGGGGTCTGGAAATTCTTGACCTGGAGGAAGAAATAAGATTATTGAACTTCAATTTTTTTATCCGCCTTCTCCTGGAGTCTTGGGTAACAATATTCCATGGGCCGCCTATGCACAAGTTCAGCTGGACTGCCTGGCAGCCTCCTCCCACCCCTCCATCCTGTTCACCCGCTCCATTGGTTAATGAATAGCCATTGGACTACTCCCTCCACTTTGGCAACGATCACACACGACTCACCAGCAGGGAGGGTCAGACAAGACCTCTGGCTAGACCCGTTGTGGCCGGCAATGATAAAGCTTTGGAGGGAAAGGGGGGGGCACCAGACACCCACACCGGTCAGACGGGAGGAGGTGTGGTGCCAACCACTATTTGGTCATCCCCAAATAAAAGACCAAACAGGCTTCTCCTTCTCGCTGCAAGGAAACTCCAAGTGGCGACAGTGAGTGGGTCAAGAGGGAGGTCTCTAAGGTGGGGGACCTGTGGGACAACCAAACCAAAGAATGGACAACAAAGGATACTCTGAAAACCAGAACAGGGCCGATCAGAAACATGGACAAGGGTCTGGCTGAACTTTCCACTACTTTGCGGAATCCCCATGCCGATCTACATGGCAGCGTACCTGAGCCCTGCAATGCAAACGAGAAAATTCCCTGAGTTGTGAGCGCAAGGAACCTGCTCGCCTTCATTTGTGTGTGTGTGTGTGTGTGTGTGTGTGTGTGTGTGTGTGTGTGTGTGTGTGAGAGAGAGAGAGAGAGAGAGAG